AGGCTTTAATACTAGAGGCGTTCGTCATTGTGATATTCTTTAAAACATCAGGGGCCAGTCAAAAGAAACCTCACTGTAAAGTCAGACGGATAAACAGAGAAGTAAAACGTTTCCAGAACTACGTCATATCTTTAATATTGTTCAAGATTTTAAAAATAATTATTTTTCATTATTTTTATAATTTATTATGATTACAAAATTGGGTGACGGGGTGGGGCAGTGGGTAGCGCTCTCGACTCAAGGCAAAAAGGTCGCTGGTTCAAGCCTTGGCTGGGTCAGTTGGCATTTCTGTGTGAAGTTTGCATGTTCTCCCCGTGTTGTGTGGGTTTGCTCAAGATGCTCCGGTTTTCCCCACAGTGCAAAGACATGCATTTTAGGTGAATTAGGCAAGCTAAATTGTCTGTTGTTGTAAATGAGAACGGGTTGCAGCTGGAAGGGCATCCGCTGTGTAAAACATATGCTGATAAATCATTCGGTTCATTCCGCTGTGGCGACCCCAGATTAATAAAGGAACTAAGCCAAAAAGAAAATTAATGAATGATTATAAAGTTTTATAACTATTCAAGATTTTTTTAATTAGAGTTTGATGCATCACTCACTTGTGTTTATATCTCAGACAGTTCTACCTATTAAAGTTAAATATCAATGACAACAGAACATGGGTTACTCTACAATTATTTTTTTTATTCTGGCAAGAATAATAGCAAAAAAATATATATATTATTTTTTGCCCACTCAACAATTGACACATTATTGTCTGGCTAGTTTCTGTCCTCTACTAATGAGCTGAAAAGGCAATAATGGTCCAACAATCCTGTCTATTATCACCAATAAAGCCTATAAATTAAGCTTGAGTACACTGTAAGCCGATGGGCTCATATATTGTATTCCAGTTACCAAATACTTAATTTGTTACTTAATTTTTTTTACATTGCTTTAACTTCAAAATGATACATCAGTTTAAAACCAATAAATGGTGAAAAAACATATTCTGTAATCTTAAAACCACCTGGGTCTCCACTTTTGCCATGGCCTCTTTTTTGTTGTAACAAACTTATCCCCCAGGTTTTTCCAAACTTCAACAAAACACTTCCTTTCCATGGCTGTTGCAATTTCTAGCCAAGAATTATTGGTCATCTGGTCATCTCTATGCTGATCACGCATGGTCGGATAGTTAAGATGTCTGTACAGTCGTACTGTTACAGACAAAATCTCTTCAAAGTGATTCAAATTCAACTCAAATCAAGCGCGGCGCCGCGCGAACTGTTCACCCGAAATCATGTCGCTCGCGTCCAAAGTGAACCTCCGCAAACACGGCGATGACGTCACATTCGCCGCGCGCACTGAGCTATTGCATGCTGGTCTTTTCTTATTTGTAGTTTTAATACTGCAAATTACAATAGGAATAGTGAAATAAAGAACTACACCACCACGAAACCATAAAATGAGCATTAGGAGTAGCGTTACATGTACATCGGAAAAATAAGACCTGTGCAAACATATTTCAGACCTAGAACAGCGAATTTGAGACTTTTTAAGGCCTAAAATTTAGATGTTTATATTTTAGACATTTTAAGACCCCACGGAAACCCTGTGTAAGCCGGATGGTACAGCAGAGGGCAGGTTCATCCACCTTTTTTTTGCGCTTTTTGGATATGCACATAAAAACGGTTGATGGAAACGCTATAATGCGCATATATTTTGAAAATGTGTGTGAATGGACAAACCAGCAGGCTAAGCACATTGTAAAACATCTAAAGTGTTGTTTTGGTCATTTTAAACCGCCTCAACCATTTCAGTATTATATTATATTAATAATGACCTCCAGAATTGTCAAGAGTGCCTGCACTCCGTGTCTCGCGCCTTCCAGCGCGCGTTCACTGCGTGCAGGATTGCCTTCTGATGCGCAAGTCACTTAGTAAATGAAGATAATTTATTCATGCAGCTGCTTCTACTGATGCTAATTATGTTTTTACTTTTGATATTTGTCGCCAGTTAATCAGGTGGCAATTTTGTTCTCTTTGACTTGTTGGACAGAAACGCTGCTTTATTTGCAGTCTTTTATGCGATATTCCAGTTTTGGGCATACATTTAATTAGCATTTTAGATGATACCATAGCTAATCACATCAGCACAGCTGTCCCCTTTTTTCCCTATGTACCTGTAGGTGAACAGCTCCTCCAGATGTGGCAATGGGCATTCATCCTCTGCTATTTCTTCCTCATTTCTTCTGTCTTAAATCTCCATAAGTCAATTGATAACTTTGTGACTGTATGATGACGGTCACGTAAATCTGCAGTAGCCTGAACTTGTTTTTCGGTTCAAATAATGTACCAGGCTTTTCATTGGTCCGTTAAGATCAGCTTTTTTTATTGGCTACCGAAATGCTGGTCAGTGCGTGGCTGAAATATTAATTTATTTACAGTACTCTGTAACGAATTGTGATTTTAAAAGTAACGAAGTATATTACTCAGCTTAATTTTTACTCAAGTACAAGTAAAATTACAGGCTTAAAATTCTACTCATGAAAGTACAATTACCCCAAAAATGTACTTAATTACAGTAACGTGAGTAGTTGTAATTCGTTACTCCCACCACTGCCGGCCACATTATTAGGTACATTTGTCCAACTGCTTTTTAAAGCAAGTTTCTAATCAGCCAATCAACTTAATGCATTTTGGCATGTAGACATGGTGAAAACGATTTGCTGCAGTTCAAACACAGCATCAGAATAGAGAAGAAATGTGATTTAAGTGACTTTGAACGTGGCATGGTTGTTGGTGCCAGACGGGCTGGTCTGAGCATTTCAGAAACTGCTGATCTGCTTAAATTTTCACGCACAACCATCTCTAGGGTTTACAGAGAATGGTCTGAAAAAGAGAAAATATCCAATGAGCGGCAGTTCTCTGGGCGCAAATGACTTGTTAATGCTAGAGGTCAGAGGAGAATGGCCAGACTGGTTCCAGCTGATAGAAAGGCAACAGTAACTCAAATAAGCACTCGTTACAACTGAAGTATGCAGAAGAACATTTCTGAACTCACAACACGTCCAACCTTGAAATGAAAGTGCTACAGTAGCAGAAGACCATACCAGGTGTGCACTCCTGTCAGCTGAGAACAGGAAACTGAGGCTACAGTTTACACAGACTCACCAAAATTGGACAATTGAAGATTGCCTTGGAAAAACGTTGCCTGCTGATGAGTCTCGATTTCTGCTCCGACATTCGAATTGTAGCTTCAGAATTTGGCATCAACAACATGACACCATGGATCCATCCTGCCTTGTATTAACAGTTCAAGCTGATGGTGGGGGTGTAATGGTGTGGGGGATGTTTTCCTGGCACACTTTGGGCCCATTAGTACCAATTGAGCATCATGCCAACGCCTCAGCCTTCCTGAGTATTGCTGCTGACCATGTCCATTCCGTTATGACCACAGCGTACCCATCTTCTGATGGCTACTTCCAGCAGGATTACTCGCCATGACATACAGCGCAAATCATCTCAGACTGGTTTCTTGAACATGACAATGAGTTCACTGTACTATCCAATAGAGCACCTTTGGGATGTGGTGGAACGGGAGATTCGCATCATGGATGTGCAGCCGACAAATCTGCAGCAATTGTATGTAATGTAATGTAATGTGTATTTATATAGCGCATTTATTGTGTATGGCCATACACCCAAAGCGATTCACAATCATGAGGGGGGGGGGGGTCTCTCCACACCACCACCAGTGTGCAGCATCCACTTGGATGATGCGACGGCTGCCACAGGACAACGGCGCCAGTGCGCTCACCACACACCAGATATTGGTGGAGAGGAGAGACAGTGATAGAGCCAATTCGGTGGAAGGGGATAATTGGGAGGCCATGATCGTAAGGGCCGATAGAGGGACTTTGGCCAGGACACCGGGGTTACACCCCTGCTCTTTCACGAGAAGTCACATGGGATTTTTAATGACCACAAAGAGTCAGGACCTCGGTTTAACATCTCATCCGAAAGACGGCGCCCACTGACAGTTTAATGTCCCCTTCACTTTTACTGGGGCATTAGGACTCACACAGACCACAGGTTGAGCGCCCCCTGCTGGCCTCACTAACACCACTTCCAACAGCAACCTAGTGTTCCCTAGTGGTCTCCCATCCAGGTAATGACCAGGCTCAGCCCTGCTTAGCTTCAGTGAGTAACCGGTCTTGGGCTGCAGGGTGACATGGCTGTGGCTGTGCATGATGCTATCATGTCAATATGGACCAAACTCTCTGAGGAATGTTTCCAGTACCTTGTTGAATCTATGCTATGAAGGATTTAGGCAGTTCTGAAGGCAAAATGGGGTCCAACCTGTTACTAGTAAGGTGTAGGTGTCTTAATTCTGTCATCAGTAAAGTATGTGGCTCCAGTACAGGTGTTATTTGATTTTCCTAACTTTGCATTTTGTGTGTGCCCAGCTTGTTTTTATATGATTATTTTACAATTTGGTGTCCACTGTCTAATAAAAAAACAAATAAATTTGTGCAAAATTAGTTATATCACCAACATTGTATGTGGCTATTTTAAATGTGTAGTTTTCTCAGCATAATAAAACTGTTCTGAACTGTTGTTTCACATACACAAAAAGGATACTGAAGAGTATCAACAATGATGAAGCTATCTAGGCTGTAAGTGTTCGCACATGCTATCAACCAAAGTATATTTTGCGAGTCTTTGTCTGGCTATATGCATTCATTAAGTATTTGCTTCAAACCTAAAGTATGCTTCTCTCTCTTTATCACAGCTCTGTTTCCCAAAGCACTTATTGGCCAGGTTACAGGAAGTATGCATCCTGACCCAGAGGTCCACATCCTGTTGCGGAGTTATTTTAAGCAGATTCTGTGACAGCAGCAAGACAGCCTTTGCTACAGGAGATTATTTCTAAAGGTCACATTCATGTGCGATATCTGTAGACGGAAGACATAGTTTTGATACAGTAGATGGAAGTAGAGTAAGGATGCAGCTGATTACCTTGCCATACTGGAGAGCTCATGTAGTGTCTACTGGTTTGAGAGCCAGGTCTTGAATTGGTGAAGTCATTACCGCTCTTCACTGTGAGGAGAAAGAGACCATTAAGCATATTACACTATGATGTTGTTTCCCAGTACTGGGTTGCAGCTGAAAGAGCATCTGCTGTGTAAAACACATGCAGGATAAGCTGGCGGTTCATTCCACTGTGGTGAACACTGATGAATAAAGGGACTGAACTGAAAAGCAAATGAATGAATGAACATTTTGGTGTACTGCAAGGTTCTGTTCTTAGGACAATTTACTTTCATTATATGAGTCTCTATAGGCTCGAGTTTTTATAAACAAAACATCTCACATGATGCATATTATACACTTATCATACATAACTATATATTCCATTTGTTCCAAATACGTCTCAAACTTTCTGCTCTCTATTCAGGCCCGTAGCCAGGGGGGGTTCAGGTGGTTCGTTACAAACATAATTCGTTGATTTGCCGTTTTCCAAATCCGTCGCACCAATGAACATTCGCAAACTTGAGCACTCGCAACTACACCTCTGGAGCTGTAGTTAGAAACTTAGGCCCCGTTTACACTGTCAGGTATGATGCCCAATTCCGATTTGTTGCCAATTTCTGATTTGTTCGCCTGTCTGTTTACACGTTGTTTTAATTGTGACCCATATTCAATTCATGCGTTTACACTTGCCATACAACTTACGATTTCGCACATGCATAAAGGCGGGTTCTAGCATCTGTGCCTCACTAGCCACGATGGAAGAAATTGTCTTGTTTTTAGCTCTGCGAAATATGTGAAGTGTAGTATAAGCAGTGAATTTTTTAGTCTAGATTTACCCCCACCCAGTTTATGTAATGGTATGGCCCTGATGTGTGTGTGTAGTTGAAGATGTAGCCTTTGCCTGTGTGCGCACTGGTGTTAGAGAGAATAAAGTAGTTCTATGTGAAGCCGCAGTGCGTATATTAATAGTGACAAAAAGCAAAAGTTACAACACGATGTTCGCCCAATTTTAAAATGATTTTGAGGCGGAGGTGGAAAAGGGCCGTCATCGCAGCTTGCGCTTATGGTTTATATGCTTTATGATGTCCTCCACCATTCAGAGGAATGTGTGGGTACGAGAGAGATCTCAGGTCTGGTGGGAGCAAACTGTGGCGACTGACCACGTTCCTCCTCTGTGTTTCCTCTGATGTTGTTTACCGCGTCGGCATCTCCACACACGCTCTTCTTTCTGTCATTAAACCGCGGAGAAGCACCACATTGTCGCAAGTTTAATGATGTACAGAACGGAATGCCTCAATAAATCCGATCTGCCTGTTTACATGACAGTCGCATTGTCAAACATCCGATCTACATCTGATTTATTTCCACATATGAAGAAGGCCTGAAACCGATCTCTGAATATCCGAATGCATGTGTTTTTTTTTTTTTCCGTGTTTACACGGTCATAGAACAGATCCGATCTGTGTCACATATGAGCAAAAAATAGGAATTGGGTCACATTTAATTGGCAGTGTAAACGGGGCCATAGTTCCTATGCCCTATTCATTTAGAACATTCTAACATTTAAACTTGGAATAATTACAAATAAAAAAGGTCAATAAAAATTAAGGTCATCTCTCTCAGGTGTAATTTCCTTTCAAATAATTTTTACAGTTCAGTTTTAGCGATCTTCATGTTTACAATTGTGCTCCCTTCATAGTGCACTTTGAAAACATTGATGTCATTTTGAACACAGCCTCATGGCAAAAGCTATATAGGTGATCTATTATTTAAAAGCGGAATTTATGTTACGTCTCCAAAGCTTGTGAAAACAAAAAAGCATACGTTAATTATTTTAATTTATAGTGGGTTATTTATTAAGTGTCTGTACTGTATTGAACTTATTCTAAAATGCGGAAGTGCGCCTGTTTTTGCGATTGTCTTAGAACTTCCGATTCAGTCGCCTATGGGAGAAATGACTAGGAATAATAAACAGCAGAAAAGGGTCAAACTACTTGCTCTACAAACAAATGTTTGCCTGACTATACAGAACAAGTAGAATAATATAATAAGAAAATATCAAATTGCAACATCAAGCAGCGTAACGAGCAGTTTTTAACGTCAAAAAATGAATGGAAGTGAATGAGACCGGAAGTCTCGAGCAAAAAAGATTCAAATGGCAGCGCCCGCTCGTCAGAGGAGAATAAGGTCAATATGACATGGGCCTGCTGGTTAGAATTTTCTGCAGTGGTTTGCATGTGTCAAATTGTAAAAGTAGACTTTTCTAAAAAATAAAAAATAAATAAACAATATAATACTTAATAATAATAAGAAGAATCATCATCATCATCATTAATACTTTTTAGATTATTATTAAAGTAGGATTTTCAAAATTTCCTAATAAATAATATATATTAAATTTTATTTCTTAATAAATCGCCTCGTTATTTATATATTTATATGATATTAGAATAGTGTTCGCTTTTGTAAGTGACATGTTTAGAATATGTAATTATCAACTTCTTAATAATATTAGTAAAGCAAACTATATGTGCCATTTGTATATATTTCATTTAATATGGAAAGCGAGTGCATGCTTTTACCAAATCTAATATTGGATTTTATTTTAAATGCGTGTGTGTGTGTGTGTGTGTATAAACAATATAATTTGCACAAAGAATTTAGAGTTCTTCTCTAAAGAAGTAGTTACTCCACCCAGTTTAGAGCATCATTATAGGGGTTTTACATTATAACTAACATGGTTCAAGTGATGGATCTGCGACAGAGAAACTATGGTTTTGGGAAACACTCGTCACTACATCGTTCTTTTTCTAAACGATGCATCGTACTATGATAGTTTAGCCTCGAGTTATGTCGTTTTTTGGAAAATGCACCCCAGAATGTGTCTCCAATATGAGGTCATTTGTCCCATTTTTGACATTATGCCATCATAAATTGTGAAAATAACTGATAGAAGAAGGCTTTAGGACATATTTAATTTTTAATTATTTACATGTACAAATTCTGACTAAAAAAATGAGCTGGCCAGTTTGTTATTTACCTAAAGGTTACAGTTTTTTAATATGTTTTTTAGTTGGTCTTTAAAAAGTTTAAACAGATTCCTAAAAGGTTTTTTTTATGATGCATGAAAATAAACTTGTATTTTAACAATAAGTATTTTTTCATTCTTGCAAAATAATTAAAAATTCTTAATTTAAAATTCTAATCTCATAACATTATTTATAAAACTGTAAAAACTTTTAAATGCACAATAAAACTGTTTAATTGCACATTTGTAGTAAAATAGTAAAGTAAGCGCTTTGACAAAATTGTAAGGAATATTTTTGTTGCATCAGAAAGGTTATGATCACCATGCGGCAAGCCAATGCAGCAAAGATTAATGCTTAAAATGTCACTAAAAGGTGGTATTTGAACCTCATAATTTAAGAGAAATTCAATGATTCTCCACTTTTTAAGAAAAAAGAAGAGGGTGAAGAGAGTGGCTTTTATTTCACTTAGCATGTCCAATTTGTGTTTTAAGGTGAAGGTTGTTATTCTTGACTTTTAACTGAGTTACAATTGTCTGAATAAGGCTGGCGTTTACCAACTCTAACCAATATAATCAAATTGACTTTGATTCTTTCGACTTCAGCAGGGGTGCCCAAACCTTTTCTTAGAAATGGCCAAAACCCAAACTTGATTGAGGGCTGTGGGCCAAAGTTAAAGATACTAAACCGCATTACATTCAATTTTCCATGGGTATTTTGTAATTAATTTGGTATGATTTAAAAATAACTAAAAAAATGTTGCTTTAAAACACATTAGATTCATAGATTCAGTATAATTGTTAAGTTTTATGATGAACTTAGTATAGTAAAAACACAATCCTATTTATAACACAATGGAGTTCAATGCTGAAAACACTAGTCAAGCTACTTCTGCCTTGTTTTGTTTGCAGATATCAAGTGCATCTGTCAAGTGACGGTATTTACATTTTAAAAGTCAGATTTAATTTTAGTTGGATTTTTTGTAGCTCCACAATTAAAAAAAAAACAAAAAGTTACATTCAATTTGAAATGACGTCTCTGTTAAAGGCATTCACCCCAAACCAACTCCCCAACATTTTCCCTTTCTTTTCAGATGGCATTGCGGGCCAAACAAAGGGCCCTAACATACACCCGGAGCAATGCGGCGTAATGCGCGATCCAATTGATGTTTGCTAGTTTTAGCTCGACGCAAGTTGTTTTGACGTTTTGCACCTTGCTGTTTAAATAGCAAATGCATTTGCGCTCATATGTGGGACCATAGGCGTTTCGGTCCAAAGAAAGGAGGTGTGTTAAGGCGCATTGCTGGTGTGTTGCTATTTTGAGGAACTTAAATAAATGGTTTAAAGATTAAACCTGGGGGTGGGTGGGGGGGGTCAGTTTATTCATGACTATTTGCTTTTGTATAATGGTATCATTATTAGCAGTTTTATTAATTATATGCATATTTATATTTGTTTTATTAAAAAACAAGCTTAGATTTGTCCACCTGTCAGGTTTTAGATGGGGCACAACATGTGTATTTAGAAATAACTTTTTTGAGAAAACTTTGTTATTATTGTTCATTTATTTGTTTGCTGGAAATTAGAACTGAATTTAGAAATAGTTTTGAAACAAATCTTTGCGCTTAGCAAACTAAATTAATTATGTAGGTTAATGGATGTCTGTGCGTACAACATGTTTCCCTATCCACGAGAGTGAAAGTGAAAGTAAAGAATGAGGAGGCTCATCTCTCATTCTCGCCTGTAGATGCTCTGTTTACCCGTTTTCTCTCAAGTGAAGCACTCAGTTTTTCCACTTACAAAATCTGTCATGTAAATAGCAAATGCGCTATTGCACGACGCAACTGGCTCTTAAAGGCAATGGGAGATGAGACTCTGATTGGTTTATTCTCAAAACACACAGCTATAACTCATTAAGAGAATAAGCTCAACCCTGTTGTGCTGTGTTCACACCAGACGCGGAACGCGCGGATAAATCGCGCTATTCGCGCGTAAATAGCGTAAATAGAACATTTGAGTTTACTCGCTTCATTTGCGCGTCAAACCCTGCTTCATTCGCGTGTCAAATTCACATCAGAACAGACGCGGATTCGCGTGATGGGCAGGGCTTCTGTCTGCCCGAAGACTCTAGCTTCATAGCTAAATGGCTAACATGGATTTTATGAAGAAAATAACAGTGTTTATGTGCTTTATGAAGACTGAAAAACAGCGTCGATACGTTTAGGGTCGTGTCTGAGTCCACTACATTCTTTCAGAGGTGTATCCAGCTCTGTGAGCTCATAAACTCCTCCAGAAACTTCACCTGGATGACGGAGGCTTTCAGCAGTGCTTCTGACTGAGCCAAGCCGAGTTTGATGAACTGTTGTTGGTGAAGGCTGGAGGATTTCCCTCGGAACACCGACAACAGGTTCTACGTCACAATCACGCCCCCACAAGAGCAAAATTCTAATTGGTTAACGCGGCGCGAATGTACGCTGAAGTTCAGATTTTCAAAATCAAGAGATTCGCACAAAACGCTCATTAAGCGCATCAAACGCGCAAAACGCTCAATTCGCCCCGCGCAATTTGCATCATTCGCGCCGCGCCATTCGCGCGTATCGCAGGATGTCTATTCGCGCGTTTGCATTGACTTAACATGTAAATCACTCGCGCTTGACGTGCGTGCCGCGTCTGGTGTGAACGCAGCATCAAACCATGTGCCACGCCGCAAAGTGTATTTTTCCGTCCTTAAAACAGCAAAAGTGGATTGTGACACACCGTTAATGCGTTTGCGCCCTGCGCTTTGGACTTTGCACATGGATCGTCAAAATAGAGTCCATGGGTTTCCATGGGCCAACTTTAGGCCAACATCAGCCCGCAGTCCATCCTTTGGGCACCTCTAGACAAAAGACTGCGAAACTATCATTCCGGAATTTGTCTTGCATTGTATATCATGTATCGACTTCTATAAATTATAATAAATTTTATTCAACAAAATGCTATAAAAATGAAATCATCCAAACAGATGGTTCTCTTTGTTCCTAAAACGAAATTAGGGAGAGGAGAGGCTCTTTTTTGTTGTCGGTCCCCAATTACAGGATATTGTTCCACTGCATATAACATTTTCTCCAACTCTGTATACTTCAAAATCTGAGCTGATTAGCAGGATTTAATGTGGTTATGTGTTTGTAAATGTTTACATGGTTTATGTTAAATCCTAAAGTATTTTAAGGCAACAACTTTTGTTTTAAATGTGGTACTAAAATACAATTTGTATTTAATTGTATTAGACTGAATTAAATTATTAGCTTGACATTCGATAAATATCAAAGTAATGCATAGAGTATGGCATTTTACTATCAAATTCTGATTGCAATAATGGCATTACTATGATACCATGCCTAAATGCCATGATATTTTCCCATAAAAGGGTGCTATAATGTCTTTAAAAAGGGCCATAATATTAAAGTTAACATGAGCAGAGAGTCATGAGTAGGCATGGGACATTTTCAAGGTATACCAGGGTTTGGAAAAGTCAAGGTTTTAAAACGTCAAAATTTTGTTAAACCGTTCCTTAGGTATATGTTTTGTTTTTTAGGACAACAGTATCTCCAGCGACAAAAAAGATATCCAAAGATGCCATTTTGAATTGTAAAAAAAAAAAAAAAAAATCTGTGAAATAAATGTAGACAGCAGAATTCAATAATTAATTAGAATTATTTAGCCTGACATGTTTACTGCTCCAAAATATTTTAAAAGTTATGTTTAAAAGGGGAATTATTTTTTTCTTTTTTACCCAGACATATAAAACGAACTTATTTTAGAGCAGTGATCACAATACCGTGAAACCGTGATATTTTTATCCAAGGTTATTATACCGTCAGAGTCTTTTACTGGCCCATGCCTAGTCACAAGGCTGTGAAAGGCTCACATAACAAACATTAAACACTGTGTCAGTCTCACCATATGGAGTGGGGGGTGTGACAGGAAATGCTGGTGTGGGCGGAGCTTGATTTAAACCCACCCACAGTGGTCTGTCAACTTCTGGAGGGAGGTCACCAAAGTCAACGGCGTCAGTGTGATACAAGCCTCGCTGGAACAAAAACACACACAGCATTGTTATAGGATTGTTCCGGGTTCAATACAAGTTTAACACATATTTTAGTTGACATTAGGCAGATCTTTGCACAGGGTTGGTGAGCTGATTCTATCACACTAGTCTCCTGTTAAAATGTGTAATGTTTAATTTTTTTAGGCTGGACATTTACGAAGTGACTGTGATAAATGTGTATACCAGAGATGGCGTGCTAAAATCGAATCTCTGGGTGTTCTGTGTTTGATCCCCACTCGTATTCTGCAGCACAGAGTATTCGGAGACATCGCTGAGCTGTTTTTGTCTCCAACCTGAAAAGAAAAAGGCAGTAAGAGAAAGCATTTAGCAGGCATTCATAATCCACATCTCACTGTGACCAGTAAATCAGACTTTTATTCAAGAACTTCCAACAACTTTTTTTGAAAAATAGGGGTTTCATTCAAATAAAAAAAAACTAAATACACTGCAAAAAATGATTTTCTTGCTTAGATTTTTTGTCTTGTTTCTAGTCTAAATATCTAAAATTTCTTATATCGAGAAGCATTTTCTAGACAAGCTAAATGTATTGTATTGTTTTGAGAAATATTATGATATAATATTTCTCTATATAAATATAAATATATATAAATATTAAAATAATCTGCTAATGGGGTAAGCAAAATAATCTTGTTTTCCGATTTGTGATAAGATTATTTTGCTTACCCCATTGGCAGATTATTTAGCTTGTTTTAAGGAAAAACTCATTTAATATTGGCATATTATTTCTCAAAACAAGACAATATGTTTTGCTTGTCTAGAAAATTCTTCTTGATTTAGGAATTTTTAGATATTTGGACTAGAAACAAGACAAAAAATCTAAGTAAGAAAAGCACTTTTTGCAGTGTATAGAACGTTCTCAAACGATTGTTGTTTTGAAATGCTTACTAAAAAGTTTATGATATCCAAATACAAAGCTATTGACTTAAAATATTACAAGATGTAAGCTGGTTGGACATAAGTGTGTGTAGTGTGTTCACTGTCATATTGGAGTGATATGAACACAACAAGTCTCTTTTTAAAATGTCCTGATGTTGAAAATAGAACCCAATTACCAGTGATTTTAAGGCTCACTGCAATGTGACGTAGGAGTGCAGTTTTCCCCGCCCACCGAATTGATTGACAGGCGCCATGTTTCAATAATGACATGTGTACATACAGTTAAAGTCAGAATATTTAGCCCCCCTTTGATTTTTTTTCTTTTTTTTAATATTTCCCAAATGATATTTAACAGATTCAGGAAATTTTCACAGTATGTTTGATAATGCTTTTTTTTTCGTCTGGAGAAAGTCTTATTTGTTTTATTTTGGCTAGAATAAAAGCAGTTTTTAATATTTTAAACACAATTTTAAGGACAATATTATTAGCCCCTTTAAGCTATATATATTTTTTGATAGTCTACAGACCAAACCATCGGTATACAATAACTTGTTTAATTACCCTAACCTTCCTAGTTGATCTAATTACCCTAGTTAAGCCTTTAAATGTCGCTTTAGGCTGTGTAGAAGTGTCTTAAAAAATATCAGTCAAATATTATTTACTGTTATTATGGCAAAGATAAAATAAATCAGTGATTAAAAATGTATTAGTAAATAAATTAATAATAATAATAATAATAATAATAATAATTTATAAGTTAATATTAATAAGTTATTAAAACTATTATGTTTACAAATGTGTTGAAAAAAATCTGCTCTCCGTTTAACAGAAATAGGGGGAAAAATAAGTAGGGGGCTGACAATTCAGGGGGGCTAATAATTCTGACTTTAACTGTATATTTTTGGGTGAATGATCCCTTTAAGTTTGGACAGAGCAATTGAAATTTGACTTGAAGCGTCTGAGACTTGAAGGCTGCCATTTATGCATTTGCCTCTTTGCATATTGATTAGTATAATTTGTAATACAAACTTCTAAATTAGAAATGTTAAATTAATATAACATCAATTAACATAAATATTTGTATGCCTATATACAGTAGGTCAAATTTTCTGAGACCACTAGTGAAACTTTTTTATTATTTCAATTTTAAATATTTTTCCCGTTATAATATTTTAGGATCACATTCAGATATCTCAATTATCATTTCATTTTTTTTTTTACTCCAGCTACATAAAAAAATCCAAATGTATAATCTTCTCTAGAATGATTATGAGATCCAGATCACATCTGAAAACAAAAGTCACAGGCTGCTTCTCAATATGCGTTGCTTGCTTAACTTCATCATCAGCTGACAAAGTTCAGCTCTATTTCTCAAGACCGCAAGAACAGAGGACGCCTGAAACACTCCGGATGTGTTCTTGATATCGAGGAGGCACCGATGCAGACTTGAGCATCGAACTCGCTTTAGAAGTCCCAGAAGTCATTGCGACTGGAGGTGGGAAGTGCAGCATTTTATTTATTATTAAAGTTCAGAGATATGACTTATTTACCTCAGGAGCTTCCCTATGAATGAAACTGTGAATTTACCATGGACATCTTAATGAAGGAATAAACACATTGGGCTCTATTTTGACGGTCCATGCGCAGAGCGCAAAATGCAGGGCGCAAACGCTTTCAGGGTGTCAGAACACATTTTTGCTAATTTAAGGATGGGAAAATCGGCTTTGTGCCGTGGCGTATGGTAAAAAAGGGTTGAGTTTATTTTCTTAATGAGTTATAGGTGTGTTTTGAGAATAAACCAATTAGAGTCTCATCTCCCATTCCCTTTAAGAGCGAGCTGCGCCGCGCCAAGAGCGCATTCGCTATTTACAGGACGCAAAGTAAGTCTAAGTGGAAAAAATTAGCATTTCACAAGCAAACAGTTAACAGTTTTTTTTTTTAACAGAAAACTGTGAAACAGAGCATCTACTGCGTGAGAATGAGAGATAATGGATCTACTTTCACTTTCGCTCTTGGATAGGGAAACCTTTACACACAGACATCAATTAGTCTATAAATAAATAATTTTGTTTGTTAAGCGCAAATATTTTTTTAAAATTGTTTCTAAATTCAGTTCTAATTTCCAGCAAACGAATAAATGAACAATTATAACAAAGTGTGCTCAAAAACCTGAGTTATATCCTAAAACACATGCTGTGCCCCATATGGTCTAAAACCTGACAGGTGGGCAAATCTAAGCTTGTTTTTAATAAAACAAATATAAATATGGATATAATAAATAATACTGCTAATAATAATAACATTATACAAAAGCAAATTGTTATGAATGAACTGAAAAAGCCTCCCGAGATGAAGACATAAAAGCAGTGATTTTTCATATTTATGTAGGCTAGAAAATAATATGTTTTGTAATATTTTAATCCTTTATATTTATATCCTATATCTATTCTTATTATATCCTATATATATATCCTTAATATTTACATTTTTTCATATGTAAAGATATTTGCCTATTGCTCTCTTGTGCGTATTAAGCAGTGCGTAAGCGAGTCGCAATTCTGCGCCGGAGTTTAGAGCGGGTTTATTTTGGTTTAATGAAAAATCTATTATAGTTTCTCAAAATAGCAACGCGCCAGCGGTCCGCCTCAGAACGCCTCCCTTTTTAGACCAGAACGCCTATGGGCGCACAAATGAGCGCTAATGCATTTGCTATTTAAACAGCGTAGCGCAACGCCTCAAAACGACTCTTGCGCCAAGCTGAAACTAGCAAAAGACTTCTGCGCCGCGCCTTGCGCCACACTGCGCCGGGTGTATGATAGGGCCCATTAAGGGTGTTTGTTTGCTGAAATTCGTATTAAAATCTCTTATATTTATATTGCACAATGTATATTTATGTTTTTATGTACAGTATGTATTTTGAAAAAGTGAAAAACAATAAATCCCTGTATGAATGCAGTAATGTTTAAATAATTTGACATTTAAAATGTGTGAAGGTCATGTGACCATCAGAAAGAACACAGCATCTCATTTCTCACAGGACACATTCTCTGTTCTCGTAGTCTGCCGAGTTTGTTCTTCTGAGGACACCTGGAAAGACCGCTCTCCACAAGAACGCAAGTCTGTTCTCTGCATTTTTGAAATTGAGAAACAGCCAGATAATCGATCAGTGACACATTTGCTTGTTGAATTAGCTACAATTGTACAGAATCAGAAGACAGACAATGTATTTTTCTTATTTTGTAATATAACCTTTTTGGGTAACACTTTATAATAACTACACACTATAAATCATTTATTAAGCATTAGCAAATAGTGAACTCATTATCTGTTAAGCATTAACTTTACATTAATAAACGTTAGTAAGCAGTTTATAACTGCAGCTACAAATGCTCTATTCTTGACTTATAAGCACCTATATAATGTGTTTAATGATTGTATTTTCATAATAAGTTAATGTTTTATTTTTCATTACTACATTAAGTATCAAATTATTTACAAACCAGTTGTAATTAAGAGTAGTTGAGGGATTTTAGGATCATTCAGAATGAGTCATTGATTAATAAACTATTGAAATCAACATTTATAATTCTTATTATTCAGGCAAATACTAATAGTTAACTAATATGTTAATAAATGCTTTATTAACTCAACTTCATGCAGTTTTGTGACCTAATCTAAAGTGAGGACTATTCATGCTTTATAAATCCCTTATAAATGACAAATAAAGGCTCAGAATCAAATGAACGATAATCTGTGCAATCTTTCTAAAAAGTAAAATTACTGTAAAGTTTAAACATTGCCAAATAACAGGTGTGTCAAAATATGACATCCAACTGGATAAAACGACAACAATATAATAATTAAACAATAAAATAAGATGCAATTTTTAAACTCTATAGTGATTTTATTTTAGATCAGCTTGCAAAGATTTATTTTTCATTTGAAGTACAGTTTCATTTGTGTATCTTTAAATGAATAGGAGTGAATAATGTCATTCTTCCTGTTTATAATTTAACTGAGCCTTTATTTGTCATTTATAAGGGATTTATAAAGCATGAATAGTCCTCACTTTAGATTAGGTCACAAAACTGCATGAAGTTGAGTTAATAAAGCATTTATTAACATATATAGTAACCATTAATATATGCCTGAATAATAAGATATAAAAACTTAGATTTCAATAGTTTATTAATCATTTACTAACTCATTCTGAATGATCCTAAAAACCCTCAACTACTCTTAAATACAAACGGTTTGTAAATAATGTGATACTTAATTAAGTAATGAAAAATAAATCATAACTAATTATGAAAATACAATCATTAAACACATTATATAGGCGCTAATAAGTCAAGAATAGAGTATTTGTAGCTGCAGTTATAAACTGCTTACTATC